CCCTGTTTTGGAGAAATTGAAGTTTACTAAAAGTGGAAGAGAATGGTTAAACAGAACCTGGTGGCGCCGAGGCCTATGTTGTGGGGGAAGATGGTCGCTCCGTAGACATTATTGTTCCCGTGAACGGCGTCTGTACCGTAGATGATTGGGATTCCCAAACGCGACGCTAACGCTGAACGCTGAAAACCGTCGATCATATCAGCCCAACCGGACGATTTAGCGTCCTCGAACGGCCAACTTCCACCGCCGCTCTGTATGCTGCCTGTAAAACCAGAGTCATAAAGATTACTATTACAAAAGAGAAAGTTTGTTGGTTGATCTGTGGAAGTTACCGATGAAAGAATCAGTAATGACTTGAGGAGAAGCGACGGTGCGTTCGATTTGAGTCATCTGTCCGATTTTCTCCGGCAGAGTCATGCGAGAGAGAAGGTCCTTCACACGCGCTTCCACCGGCGCGTGTGGGTTTTTGTAAACGTATGACGACGACTCTTCCGTCTCGACCATGATGATGATGCTCTTTTCCTCTCTCACAAACTCCATTCACTTCACTTCACTTTTATCTGCACTCACATGCTTAATTAATTGATTTATCCCTCGAATAATTTGTACTTTGTAGTCTTTTGATTATAGTAGTATTAAATAGTAGCTTAATGTTCTTAAAATTTTAAATTATATAAGAATGTAGCCAATCTCAGTCTTGATAACATCATAACTTTACAATTTTAAAATCAAGTTTTTGGAAAATCACAAGTTTAACACAAATTTTGTATTGTTTGTGGTAGTTTTACTTTTACACCAATTAGGATACGCCACATCGATTAGGTGGCGTGATACTCCATCCAAAAGCATATCTTAGCTTTGGCATTGGATACTGATAGTGTAGATCTGACAAATTAGATCATCCATCGCTTCTCAGAGGAGAACAGCTAACCATTACAAAAGAGAAGGTAACAATGCGACACAACTGAGGAAGGTTGATACCAATTGTGGGGCTTTCCAAGTCCATATCCACCTCCCCATTAGTATCTCCCCTATATTTAGGGAGATTGGAAAGAGAAAGAGGGAGGGGTCGAGAGAGATCCGAGCAAGAAAGAAGATACACACATATAAACATGGACTAAAGAAAAAGAAATTCTCTCGAAAAACTCTCTATGTCGGTGACATTTTAGGGAGAGAATTCCAACCTCACTCTTCCTTTGAACATTTTTATATTCCCCTCCTTCCTATCCTTAACAGCAAACGTTGCCATGATTTCGGGCATGACACCAAACTTAGCTCACACTCACTTCTAAATTCTAATTTAGACACCAGACATACTCGTTGCCTCTCCATTTTAAAATTTGAAGATCATAAAACCGAGAAAATAAAAATTTGAATCACTTATCGAATAATAGGATCAATAGTTTTTTTCTCATTTAGCGCCAAAAAAGGAGAGGAAAATTGAAAAAGATGGTAGAACAGTCTCTTGTCGAACAAGAAAGTAAGATAACGACAAAAACAAACGAACGTGTGAAAACATGTGTTTCTTTTTGGTTTTGCTTAAATTCTCACTCAAACTCCAAGGTCTATATGATAATAATCATGATACACACTCGTATACCTTTTTACAAACACACTCAAACTCCACCAAATATTAAAAATGGATCAATCTTCACACACCTCAATCAGACCTGTGAGGCTGTGACGTTAAACCGGGTTTAAAGTCTGGCCGGAATTGCAATTGAGACCATAACCAAGAGGAAACAATGGGTCATACAATTTGGCATCAGCGTTTAGCGGCAACTGGTCAACGCGTTTGAACCAGCTCACTGGTAATTTCCCTTGGAAGTCATAATCACCAAAAATGACATCAGCCATTCCTTGACCTTCACTTCCAGGCAGCCAAGCAGCGACCAGAGCCTCAGTCTTTTCAAGAACCGGCGGCTCAAGAACCATAGGCCTTCCTGAGAACAAGATCATTAAAGTCGGGATTTTCTCTGCAACCGCGGTTGCAATGTCGCTTCCATTAAAAGGTATTATGAGTTCCGAGTTATCCCCCATTGTCTCTGCATAGGGCTCTTCCCCCACTGCAACAATCGCGTAAGAGAATCCTTCGCTCGAGGCTAAGGTTTCTTCCGAAGGACTCTTCTCGTAGATCACCTCAGTTTTGTCTCCAACTGCTGCTTTAATGGCGTCCAAAAGCGTAGTGCCTGCATTTTCAGACCAAAACAGAGACATTCCGATTAAGTTTCCAGCAAACATTTACTAGCCTCTGCGATTGGGAGTAGCTTTAATTACCGATTGTGATCCTGCCGCTTAGACCGAACCATGCCTTAGTCCATCCCCCACACTGATATCCAAATCGTCCGCGTGCGTTCCAGTGACTAGAATTTTCTTGGCATTGCGATCTAGTGGCAGAAACGGATTCTTAGGATTTTTGCCGTTCTTTAGCAGAACTAATGACTTTCTAACCGATTCACGCCCCAATTCTCTATGTTCCTGCACGAGTGGAAACAAATACATTCATGTTCTAGTCCCAACACTCTGGTCTAATGGCACTATGTACAAGAGAACTAACCTTGCAGCCAACAGTATCCAATAAAGACCGGTCTGTGAGAGGATGTTCAAAAAGACCCGCGATAAACTTCACTCTCAGAATTCTTTCAACAGCGTCATCTATCCGAGCCATGGGCACTTCCCCTGATTCCACCAGATCTATCAGGTCCTTTATGAAATGTTCGTACTTGAAAGGCACCATCACCTGCAACAACCACACTGATTGATGATATTTGCTACATCGTTAATCTGAAACAACGGATATCATTAACTAGGGGTTTCAGACTCTACCATATCGACTCCAGCATTAACAGACATTTTGATGCAGTTGCGGTAGTTTGAACCCAGTGGCTCGCTAAGCCGGTCCAAAGCTTCCCAGTCTGAAATGACAAATCCCTCATAACAAAAAGCAAAGAAAATCACCTCAATTCACGCACCTCTGGCTTACTTTGATAATTCATATTCGATCAAATGTTCTAGGCCGACCTTGAAACCGAGTTTCTGTTTGAGAAGTTCTGTTAAGAGGTAATAATCAGAGTGGAGTTTACGTCCGTTCCAACTGGAGTAAGACGCCATAACCGTTGAGACACCCTGAGCAAGACAGTTCAGATATGGAGCAAGATGTATCTTCTCCAAATGTTCGTATGACACAATGGTGTTCCCTTCGTTTGTGCCCTTATCCGTACCACCATCTCCAACAAAGTGCTTGGCACACGCAACAACGTTGTTTCTATCAAACATTGAACAAATCCATGAAAAACGGCATCGAAACTATTAAAGACACAAATCAAGCTCCATAGTACAGTGATTTATTAGATACCTTCCGGCAAGAAAAGGGTAACCGTTAGTGTTCTTTGGGTGGCTCGCCCTGTAGGCCCGAGACAAGCGTAGTCAGCTCGCAAACAATTTGAGGATCTTCACTGTAACACTCATAGCATCTCCCCCATCTAACATCTCTCAAAGCCTGTCAAATAAACAAAAGAACATCTCTTTCACTACTTTTACCATACGTATCCTTACTTTTCTTGTTAGCGATTCTTCCTCGTATAGAACGCAACTCATACTCAATGGAAAAAAACACAGTGTTCCTCTTATTTGGGACTAAAATCTGAGAGATGTCAAATAAGACATTCTCAAGAAAGTCCCAAAATATATCTAACTAAAGGCTCCATTCAATTGACTAAGCTACACAAGCTTTTATACAATTCTTCTTAGAATTCTACATCTACAAGGAACTTACGGCCACGCAGGGAGCAAACGTCCAGTGAGCGCCACTAGCCCTTACTTCAAGTGCAGTTGCAGCCCCAATTCTTCTGATCAAATCTGCATCTCTATCGAAATACCACAAGAACTACCATTGTTATCACATTCAACAACCACTTCCTTCAATTACTGCTAGAGTTAGATTCCAATCTTATTCGAACAAACACTACAAGTAAAAATAACAACAACCCCATTGTATGCAAATCTCTGTCACTCTTCTTCCCAATGTTGTAGTCAGCTCAAATTAAGTGAAAAGAGAATGATTGGTAATTGGTAAAATAAGAAACCTGGTGGCTCCGAGACCGATGTTGTGAGGGAAGATGGTGGCTCCGTAGACGTTGTTGTTGCCGTGGACGGCGTCGATGCCGTAGATTATCGGGATTCCCAAACGCGACGCTAACGCAGCGTTTTGGTAACCGTCGATCATATCAGCCCAATCCGACGTTTTAGCGTCCTCAAACGGCCAACTTCCTCCGCCATTGAGTACACTACCAATGAAGAAATCTGTAATGACGGGATGAGTAGTGACGACTCGTTCGATCTGAGTCATTTGTCCGACCTTCTCAGGTAAAGTCATCCGAGAGAGAAGGTCTTGAACACGCGCCTCCACAGGCGCGTCTGGGTTCTTGTAAACGCATGACTCTTCCTTTCCTTCCATATTCTCACTCTTCTTCGTCTTTCTAGTACAACTCCCTTACACGATGTCCATTGCAAGTTTCTATAAGAAGTTCTAATCATTACATATATTTAAAAAATTAAAAAAGAAAGAGAGAATGTTAAATCCTCAATTGAGAGATTTTTGAACTTTTATTAGAATTTCTCTTTTTACACAAGTCTTATTCTAATTGGTCTAATTTTATCATTTAATTATATTTTTTATG